GAACCCTCGGCTCGCCCCTCGGCAACCGGGCCCGGTGGAATGAGAGCAGTAGAGGGGACAAGGGAACGTGAGAGAAAGGAGTTAGAGCTCTCCAGTTCGGCTTTGATCTCCAACGGCTGGGCCTGGACTTCAGCCCCTTAATCCCTCCTTTATCGTGAGGGCTGGATACGGGCAGTGCCTGGGCAGGCTCTACCTGAGCCTGGTGCTGCTGGTCCCTGCGGTTCTGTGTGTGTCAAACCTTCCCCGCTGCCCTTCACAGGGCAGGGAAATGCTGCCTCGTCGGGGGAGCTTGAAGAACCTCTTCAATCTATCACGAGGTGAAACTGTTCGGCTGCTTCAGGCTGGGCACAGGTGGGAGCTGTGTGGTGGAGCAGAGATTTTTTGGGATTCCGCATTCCCTGCTGTTTGGTTGTGTCTTCCATCTCACTGGTCGTGCAGTCAGGGCAGATTCCTCTGCTCGTCTGAAAGAATTGCGGAGATTAAGGTAACTGCAGGCGATTCTCCAAACTAGTTCTAATCACCTGCGTTGCTTTGTCATGGACTGGAGGGTGGGTGGGCTGATCGGAACTGATAAGGCTCTGCTGCTCCTGATAGGGGCACGGCGTTTGGGGGGCTGCCCGTTGTGGAGTAGAAAACTCCCACAGAAAGCATCTGTAGGAATTGTCAACCGCTCTCTGCTAAGACCAAGCAGCCCAAATCCACCCTGAGCTGGTGTCTTTATCCCTGCTGTTAAAGCACGTGAACCGGTCGTTTGAGAACTGGCCCGAACTAGTAGCACAAACCTTTGGGGCAGGCAGCATCTGGAAGTTGCATTGACCATGTTTGGTATGAAATGCAACTTGGTGTCCCTGGGGAGCTGAGTGGTCTGCAAGCATCGGATTTCTGTAAAGACATCCCATTTTGCACAGATGTGTTCTGTAAATCCCTGTGCAGAGCTTGGATGGAGCATTTGCCTGTATCTTTTTAAGTTACTAAGATGGGGTGTATGTGCTTGAGAAGTAACACTGGTTTAACTATAAAGCCTTATCCAAACAAATTGTTTGGGTTACGGGCTGCTGGGGAGGAGACCGAGATGACACAGTGTTTGGGAGAGTTCTGCTGGCGCTCCTCCCATATTATTTTTTGTTAATAGCACTGCCAAAACGTGCAGGGCTGCACAGCGTGGGGCTCTTAGTTCTCCCATGCAGGCAGGGTGAAGACAGGTAGCTGTTTCTTAACAAGAAGGGGATTGTGTTTCTTCTGCTTATGTAAGAGCATGGCTTTTGAGTGATTCGGTGCTTGAATATTTCCCCAGCCTGTACAAACAAAAATGCCTTGGCTCCTTTCCCCTTGCATGGCTTTCCAGTGGAGATGGGATTTCTCCGTGTGAAGCAATTTTGGATGTGTAAGAGGGTGGGGAATGTGACTGAAGTGCCGAAGTGTGACGTTGATGCTTGGGCTGTGGGTGGGTTGTGTTACAACAGCACAGCAACCACTTGTGAGAACATTGGCTTGTTCCTGTGGGGTGGGGGCAGGTTTAAGCTGAAGCCCAGCATCTCCCTTTAATACCCTGCCCTCTCTGGTCAAGTGCGTTAGAAACCAAAGGCCATGTGGGCAGGGTGCGAGGAAGGGGTTCCTGCAGAAGATGCTTGAGGATCCTAGAGCTGGGGATGGCAGAAGGCCACCAGTGCAGCCAAGATATGGGAACAGTGGAGGACTTCCTCTGCCTTCCTTGGGCAGAGTAGCATCCTTGAGCGCTCTCTGCACTTTTAGCACCTAAAAGTGCCCCTGGCAGCACAGGGGGGGAAGCAAGGGGTATTCATTCCCCTGGAGCAGAGGGGTCTGCCAGCAGCCTGGCTTGGGCTGCTCCTACCTGTGTCTGAGCTGCAGGAGTACTCTGAGCACCCTGAACTCAGCAGGGCCAGAGCTCTGCTAATGCTTGTTGCAGCTGTCCTACTTTTCTGCTTTGAAATATGCACAAAAAGTCTCCGTGCAGCACCACATCATGTTTGTGCATCTCTAGCAGTGTAGACAAGCAGAAGTCCAACCCAGAAGCTGCTGGCAGAGGGTTGTCGGGGGGGGGGGGGGCTTACTGCTTTTTG